GATTTAGAGGTCAAATCAACCTCAAACTTCTGTGATGTTACATTAACTTGTATAACCTATTGTGTGTACAACACTGTGTTTGTATATATTTTCTACACACAATTTTCTTGTTTTCTGTTTCTTTGGTTTGTTATTATTTTCAATGTATGTTTCTTTGTTCACTTTTTTGTTGTATTATTTTTTTGTGTTACATTTTATAATTCTTACAATTTCAATTGTCATGCTTTGCGTATTCTGCTGAATCTCTCAAACTCTGTACTTTTTGTCCCATTCTTCTGTATGTCACTATTATTTAAAAACACCATTGCAGCACCTTTTTTGTTTCCTACTGTACACTTTCACCAAATTTTAGACAATGGGTGACTCTGTTGAACAATACCGTGCTGCAATCGGTCTTTTTTATTTATCCTGTAGAGGTGTATGCAAGTCTTACTCATTCCATATCTCGGTTTGTGAATTCCTATTGCGCGTTCTTTATAGTACGTTCAAAACATTATTAAGATGTACGACACGGTATAAGAAAAACTTAGTGTATATTAACTTTTACTTGCAGTTGTTTACGTTTATTTTATTAGCCTGTGGTGATATTGAGGTCAATCCAGGACCCACTATCGAAAGTGTCCTTGACATTTTGCACCTAAATATTCGCAGTATAAGAAACAAACTAGGTTATTTGAACTCATTCGTCCATGACTTCGATATATTGTGTTTTACCCAGACCCATCTTGACCATACCATATCGAATGATAATCTATTATTAGATGGTTTTAGTAATATAATACGAAAAGATAGAAATTGTTTTGGGGGAGGTATTATGATATATTTGTCAAATCAAATACATGTAACAAGACGCCAAGACTATGAACCAGCTAATTTAGAGTGTATTTGGTTAGAAATCGAAAATCGTACCTGTAAATACTATCTCTGCTGTATTTATCGACCTCCAAACGCTGACGCCAGTTTCTGGACTAAACTTTCATGGAGTTTAGATAAAGTAGGAGAATCCTCGAGTAAAATCATAATTGTTGGTGATATAAATGTAGATTTGTTAAATACTCCTCCTACACACATAATACGTGAAATAGTTTCAAATTCCAATCTTGTCAACAACATCCACGTACCGACGAGAATTATTAACAATACACGCACGCTTCTTGACCCAGTTTTCACTTCACTTGATATTCAGGTACATGATTCGGGTGTCCTTGAAATTGACCCAGCTTTTAGTGATCACAAAGCAACTTATATTGCACTAGCCTCGAATATAAATTACAATCGCGCTTACAAAAGAAAGGTATGGGATTATAAAAATGGTGATTTTGACAAATTAAATTCCTTAATACAAAATTGTGATTGGGATAAATACATCACACAGGATGAAAAGCCAGGTTTCCCAAATTTGGAAACCCGATGGAAACATATGGGAATCGTGACATCAGTAGTTTCCATATAGTTTCCATTTTATGGAAACCACATAGTGGTTTCCACATAGATTCCCGACATGGAAACAATCAACCTGTGGTTTCCCGTAAGTTTCCCAAGATAGGAAACCATGGAAACATACCCCGGTGGTTTCCACATAGATTCCCGACATGGAAACAATCAACCTGTGGTTTCCCGTAGGTTTCCCAAGATAGGAAACCATGGAAACATGCCCCGGTGGTTTCCATGTAGATTCCCGATATGGAAACAACCAACCTGTGGTTTTCCCTAAGTTTCCCAAGATATGAAACCATGTAAACATGCCTCAGTGGTTTCCATACAGATTCCCAACATGGAAGCCACCAATGTGTAGTTTTCCCCATGTTTCCCAGGCAGGGAAACTTTGAAAGTATATCTCAATACTAACCACCTACCTTTTATTTTACAAAAAGTTAAATATTTAATTATGTTACCATATTTTTACCAATTATAGAAATATTTCAAAAGTGTTTACATGCTGTATCAAAATAATTAACTTCAAACAGTTAAAATATTAAGTAGATGTGTATTTCTGTGTGATTAATTTAATATTTCAGCACCGTGAACGCAATTCAATTTTAATCTAATTTTATTGAACTGAATTTTATTTAATTTAATTTAATTTTGAATTTGATTTATCACATAAGTTTTGGTTAACTCGTATAGAATGCGTGAAGTGGAATAGAAAAAAGTAAGTGCATGCAGTTATGTAGAAATCAATCATTTCTGATCCCACTTTCTTGAAGCTGTCTATGATGAATGTTCCTTTGAAAAAATGGAAGAGCTAAGGAAGGGTACATTTAATGAAATTATTTACAGAAAAGGTTTATTAAAAGATCGATTAAAAAGTAAATAAAGAAATATGTCAAGTTACGACTACTGATTAAGGACAGGTGAGACGTTCCTCAATAAAATAATTAAATTTTTTTTCCCAATATTTTGCAATTGACATTGAAGAATTATTTTTACATAATTACATGTTTTCACAAGACATCAAGGTACCTTACCAGGCATTTGTGTTAGATACCAGAGGTTGGCATTCTTTTATATACCGGGGTAATCCGTCAGGAAAAAAAATACTTCAGTTGGTTTGTCAAAATTACATTTTTAGTGTTTCAAGTTTTTAAATACAAGTTTAGAAAGTGATAAAGATTTTGTTTTAATATGAATTAATATATTAATATAAACTGGTCAGATAAGAATCATTCATCGAATTGGCTGGGGGTTGAGTATTATCATACTAGTATTTTACTATTAATAGTGAATATTGGGTTTTTTTAATTTATTAAATTATTATTTTTATTATTGGGGATGGGTGGGTTGCTTTTCATTTTTTCCTTGAGAAGCCCCCCCCCCTCACCAAAAAAAAAACGCTTTTGAAAAAGTCACTATGGTCGGCCTGTGTAATTAGGGACACCTGTCCTCACGTGCCATTTCAGGTGGAGACACGTGCCGCGAAGACACCTGTCACTGTGTATTTTTTGTATAATCTATGTGAATTGAGACGGTTTTGTACCTAAAGGGAACAATAGGTTGTTGTCGAGCATGTACACACACAGTCTCCGACCGAAAATCGCTTTGAATTAAGATGATGATTCGTGTTTCTTTTATCATTTAAAAAATTGTATATTCCATAAATAAAGTTATACAAGAGAACATATTTATAAAATAACCTTCATTTAAGAAGTTCAATGAAAGAACAAACTATTTAGAATTTTTATTTCAATTTTCATTGATTTAAAATAAAACTATCCTCTTTAGAAATTAAATAATTTTCTATAGGTATTGAATAGATCTTAATTCTCGTCGAGTATAATTATATTAAATCAGAATGACGTTAATAGATCAATGTGAAATCAAAACTGTATTTAATATTGTTGATGGGTTTTTGTGTGAAATTTGTAATCTAGCGTACTACAAAGACATTTATTAGATAAATGTTTATAAATAAATATAATTCATCACAAAACACTTTTTTTTTCTTTCCTTTTTTTGTTTAAATATGTACGCAGATCCCCGTGTAGTAAACGCCTGCACTTTTCGCATGAAATTACAATGTAGGGTCCTAAATGCACATACATTATATTTAACAAACTTTAAAATTTTCAGCCATTTTTTTTTTCTCCAAAGGCCATTCCTTTAGATAAAGAAAAGTATATAATATTTTGCATGATTTTGTTTTCCTTAAGAACAATGGCTTTTAAAGTAGTACATGCTAAGGCAATCTATTAAAAGAATTTATTTTATAATTAATTCATTGTATAATTGTCACAATTGTATTTTTGTTCAGTTTTTGTTGATTTCATTCTATAAAGGTATGAAGTTTGTCAATACTTTAACAAACATTTCTTTATCTATGTTGTGCACTACTTTATTTTTATTCGCCGACATGCTACTCTTTTTAAAAAAAACTTGGGTGACTAATAGACTCGATCTTCAGGCCTGTAGGAAAGTAATTTCCGTTAGAGTAATAAACTAACGGGGATTTTATTTTTACTAACATACCTTACCAGATTTCTTAACGAAAAAAAAAAAAACATTAAAGAAATACAGGGCGGGACCAGCTAAAGCTGTATGCTTAAGTACAGTCCTGCACATCAACGAGTATAGATGACTTTCGACATAATCTTTCCCATGACTTCACTTATACCAATCACGACTAAAATACTGAATTAAAATACTGTTATATTTTCCTGACTTTGATAAGGTGTTAGTTTTGTTCCACCTAGAGATATAACTCTCCTAAGAAAAATTTTTTCAACATTCTGATTCATTTAACAATTTTACGTGTTAAAATGATGTGGGAAATTTTTTTTAGCTTTTTTTACGTGTTAAAATGATGTGGGAATTTTTTTTTTTTTTAGCTTTTTTTACGTGTTAAAATGATGTGGGAAATTTTTTTTAGCTAAAGGCCAAGGAGTTTAAAGTACAATGTACATGTAGCAATTAGAGAAAAGTCTAGCAGGTCCACCAGTAATATTGATAGCAGGCGCAAAATCTAATTAAACCCCAAAAAGGAGGGAGTTCAATTAGTAATTTTATCCCCCCCCAAAAAAAAACACAACAATTTATTAGCAATGAATTATTAATCACCGAACTTTTCAATCATCACTATTGAAATAAAAAAAAAACTGTTCTTGATAGTCATATTATAATTGTAGCTCATTTTCATGCCTTTTAGGATTCCTGTGGAAATTTCACAATAAAAAAAAATGTGCTTTTAAATATTTAAATCTTTTGGTGTGACATTATAAATTCATAATCATACATGTAACAGTTAAAAGAAGCGGGGAGAGGGGGGGGGTACTTTCAGCAAGGATGGCCACTACCAACAACCAAGCCCCTATCCCGAAGGCAAATGAGTTGAGGTGTCAAGCAAGAAACAATTTTTTTCTGCTCTTGCATCATGTATTTAACCGCTTTTTTTCTAAATATACAGTACTAGGCCTACATATCATATCGGCAAAAATATTTAGGAGCCCCTCTTTTTATTCCATGAAAAGCGGAAAACTTAATTAAATTCTAATATAAGATCTCATAATCACACTTAATCATAGTGAATGTAAACAGTTTATATTTCCCATCCTGCATCGCTCTCTGGGCGCTTTATTTCATTGGTCAATTTCCCGAGGCGCCATTTTTGGAGGATCGAGAAGGACGAAGAAGAAGGTGTAAGCAGCTGGTAAATGTGAAAAGTTAAGATGGTTTCACCACCCAGTGTCTTTAAGACTGTGATAAATGCAATGGCCAACGATGAAGGATTAGTGTACGTATATTTTTGTTAACTTTTTACGGTAAATAGTTGTAATATTTGGCAACAACAAATCTTCACTATCGGAGGCAACTTTTGTTCTGACGCCATTTTGAAAAGTTGGATACCTAAGTTTTTAAATTGTTAAGTGTATATATTGCAGAGAGAAAGAGAGAGAAAAAAAAATTTGAGACAGTCAGTCAGTGATATAGCATAACTTTGATTATGGAGGCCCCAAAGGCACCGTGCATGTGCATGCTGTATGTTGTAATATGGCAACGTTTCGCTTTTTATCATGTTTATTAAAATGTATGCTCCATATGTATGTTCTCTCTCTATATATAAATGAATACTTTTCGGAATTAAAAAAAATATTTTTAACCCCGCTCAAATTATCCGGATGATAATAGTTACACCGAGCATGGTTTCGTAGTTAAATTCAGACTGTAGAACATCCGGTTTGAATACATGTTTTCTGACTTTTCGGATAGCAAACTCTTGTTTTTTGGAACTTACGACTTATGGCAAGGTATAAATTAAATATTTTTGGTTCAAAACTTTGATAAAAGCATCGATATTTTTACAAAAAGTGTCTTCAACCTCAGCTTATCCGATTATTCATGAAGGATATCCTCATCAGAACAGTAGGAATAGATTGTAGCAAATAGCATAACCCTTATGCATGACGATGATATGGAGGAAAAATATACATAAAAAAGTGAATGTAGCATGTCCACTTTTCTGAAGAGATTAGGTTTGTTTTATTGTTTATTGAAATAGATTACTGCTCAAAAGATTTTTTTTGTAATGTCTAACCGGTTGAGATGAAGATGTAAAAAAAGAAAAGCCTAATAGTGAATTAATATTGATAGTATGTCAAGAAATGCAAATGAATCATCAGCTTGAATTATCAGTTTTTTCACAATTATTGACCTGAGTAGGTCAATGTATAGCAAATAATGCACAATAAAACTACTTACATACATGTACACGGTATTGTCTTACTGAACAGATTTAGCTGTCATTAGGTCAAAATTGCAAATGATAACATGCTTCTTATATCTGTATATACAAGTAACTCTTGATGGCTTGAACTTCAATTTCTCGGAAGTTCTTGATTGCTTGAAGTGAGTCTCCGGTCCCGATTTTTTCCTCTATATAACTAAGCAGATTTGCTCTTGATTTCTCGAACTCCTGATCTCTCGAAACCCTTGATCCCTCGAAGTCAAAATGCAGTCCCGCTGTGCTATGAATTTTACCCTTGATACCTCGAAGTGGCTGTGTGTATACCAAGTTATAATGTTCAAACTTTTGCCATAACTGTATATCTGTGTGTCTGTCTGAGTGTCTGTTGTCAACTTAAACCTTCACCATATTAACTTTAGAACTATACGAGATAGTGGCTTCATATTTAGTATGCATACTCCACTAATGAAGTGCTTTCAAATGGCAACAAGGACAATGATTATGTGATCTTGACTGTGACCTGTATGCTAAAAAAAAATTGCATTTTCGAACTTTGTTGCTGTGTTTCACAAGCGCATCTTGTTTTTAGCTCTACTGGTCAGAGACCAGAAGAGCTTATGCGATAGTAATGCGTCCGGCGTCCGTCCGTCTGTCTAGCTGTCCGTCTGTCTGCAAACACTACTCCTCCTTAAATTTTAGTCTGATTTCAATATAACTTGGCACACAAGTAGACTATACATAATTCTGTGCATCAGTCTTTGATAAGTACAAACCAGTAGAGCTACAGTCTCGACAGAGACTTCTGGTTATTTTTTCTTCCATCCCGGTTGTTGCTAATGCTATTACATAATTAGTTTAAATTTTAATGCAATAGTACCTGGACATAATTTATCATTTCAGAGAGAAGAAAACTGTGTGACGTTAAAAGAAAACCAGTGAGATAAAATCATAGAAAATGTATGATGATTCAGGATGTGGTCATTTGGTAAGTGGTAATTCATTCATGATTAGTATGTATATGACAATTGCCTGAAAAAAAAAGATTCTAAATTTTATTTAAATACTGAACTGTGGTATATCAGCTGTGAGCTACAAGAAGTTTTATGTAAAAGCTAGGGCTGAAACAATTTGTCCCCTCCATGTTATGTGTGTATTGCTATGATTGACATACAATCAGTTCTCTAATACATACACTTCAATAAAACTTTGTCATCTTGAACCTGAATTGAAAAGGAAAAAACTCTGAGATGTCTCCAAAAAATTGAAGGAAAAAAAGGAAATGCTTATTAACTGATTTCTTGTTGGTCAGTATTTTGATTACTTAAAGGAAGCTCTAAAAACTGCACACTAAAGAGTTCTACTTTAATATCAGGTAGTTTTATGAAGTTAGAGTGATCTGCCCTTAGATTAAGATTATGAAAAATGTTATTTTACAGTCAGTTAGATTATTTTTGATAGATGAAATTATTTTTAGCATTATTTAAAATTAAAAAAATAGGAAATTAGTTATTTTCATAAATTTTTCCAATGTAAGTAAACAGCAATGATTTCTGCTTACAGATAGTCCATTGTCTTTGAAAATTTCTTGGGGAAATGAGACACATACCATATGTTCTAAATGCATAAAAAAGGCTCATTATGCATATATTTATATGAAATATGATAGATTTTTTTCTCTCCAAGGAATAATTTCTGCAAGTCACTAAGTTTTTAGAGTTTCCTTTATTTTATAGATATTCAATGAAATTATTTGAAGTATTAAATTTTGGTAAATTTTATGATACTAAGTTATATGGATGAAAAAACAGCATGCGTGTATGACAATCAGGGCTTAAATTTTTAATGTCTCTTAATTTTTCAGTGACATTAAAACAGGAATTGTCATCACCAATAGACGAATTTCACATTCCTAAGAGTTTTCTCCAATTGTCGGCGTATCGCTCATTTTTCCCACTTTGTCCTTTGTAAGTTACTTGTTAATATAATTTCAATCTTCAAAAATATTGGACAATTACGATCTGTATCTGAAATGGCAGAGTATGGGGGCAACATGAAAATCATAATGAATATGTTCATACAGATTTTATTTCTAAGATATTGTCCCTCAACGTTGATACGGTTAAAGAGGGAAAACAGCGTCTTAAGCCGGTTGACCCCAGATCGACCCTGCGAAGGGGAATAACTTTTGTAAATGTGAAACTTCAAAGTCCTTTATGGTATATCATATAGATCTAAAACTGACTGAATTTTGATCAGCCAATTCATGAACATGATGAATGGATGTAAATAATGTTGGTCAATATATGTAAAAAAAAAAATTAAATTACTGTAAAACGAGTAAATTTGGCGCATACGTATTTTAGCGCAAACGCAAGTGGGAATGCATTGGCGCAAATAAATTTTAGCGCTTGCACTTTTCATTAAAATATATAAATGTGAAATTGCTTTTTTTTAATCCACGCCCATATTTGACTTTTTGGTTAGTCAAGCACGGATATACATCAGTACTCCCGTATATCAGTAAACATTCGTTAACTTTACCGTGGTACGTGTTGCTATCACATGGACGTGGTACAATGTTAAAATTTATTGTATTTCTATATTTAATTAAAAGAAATGGAGTATTTACTCATTTAAATCATATTCAAACAATGCATGCATCGACAGAAAATTACAAGTATATGTACTTAGATAGAATGGTAATCCTAATCAGGTATTGTCTGCAAGCTCAATCGCCATGTTTGATTGCATTATTTACCTCGAGGCGATAGATGATTGACACGCCGAGAAGCCAAACTTTGAAAGTGCTAATGATAATAATCGGGTAACAACTACCGGGGTAACAATTTATAGTTTAATTAAATTATAATTTGGCAGAACTTTCTGCCTTCCGAACATGTGCAGTGCTAAGTGTGTATGTAAAATCCAATGACCCTTCGACATTACGTAATCGTGCGTTCTGGTTTAAAGGTACTATTGTAAAAGCTTTGAATGTGTAAAAATGATATTAAAAAATCCATTAGCGCACAATAAATTTTAGCGCTCCGGTGCTCTTGCGCCAAAGGCGCTAAAATTTATAGTACGCCAAATATTCTTGTTTTACAGTACTTGTTTATATATACATTTGTGGTATCTCTCCCATTGAAGTTTATAAGCTTGTTATTTATTTCTTAAATAAACTGAACGTACATGCAATACCGGTATAAAATTACTCATAAGATACATGTATACTTAAACCATGATAAAATCATATGTGTCCAATGCAGCATATGATAAATCATTAACATACAAGTACACTGTACATGTGTATATATACTGTAATACATATATATTGCATTATTTTTAGGTCTTGTTCTGTGGATGCCCTAAGACAGTGTCTACCCATCACTCCATCTGATATCACTTGTTCTGTGCATATTTCTCTCTCAAACTTAAACTACAGAGAGCCTGTGGATAGAGGATGAAGAGTGACCTTGGACTAATTTTCTAGGTCAAAGGTCAGTATCAAAATGTACTGTATATCTTTATTTAAAATCGTAGTCCAGAGTATATTTCTCCCCTGGTGTAATCTAGCTTTTGTGTAATGGGGTGGAGGGTCTGCAATGATCTTCAACCAATTTATAGGTCGAATATCAAAATTAAAAAAAAAAAATCTCTCCCTAATATTTTTAGCTCTTCTGAGCCAAAGGCTCAAATAGCTAATGCTATGCCCATTTGTGCGTCGTGCGGTGTGCATTAAATTTTTAGAATATGGGCCGTAACTCAAGAACCCCTTGGCCAACCAGTGTCAAATTTGTCACAGGGTATCCTTGGCCCAGGGGCTACCATTTATACTAAAATAAGGGTTGGGACCCTAAAACAAGGGGAGATAATCAGGAAAACAAAACCAAGAGTACTGGTTGCTAAAAAATCTTCTTCTCCATAACCACCAGGCAGATTTTCACCAAACTTACATACAAGGATCAGGATATGTTGAAGATTAAAAGTTGTTCAAGGCATGACCCTGGGGCAAAGGGCGTGGTCTCAAGGTCACTTTAAAGTTGACCTAAATTTACAATTAATAAAAATGTTTATATTTTGCTTACTATAAGGACTAGGATCATCAAATCTTGTAAGTTGATGCATCTTAGGACTTCACATCATGTTAACTCAAAAGTAGGTCATGGTGACCTACTTTTTTAATTTTTCGGGTATTTGTTTTCAACTTGATTTGAAGGCATATATTGGACACTTTAAGGCCTATGATCATCAAACTTAGTCAGTTGATGCAACTTGGGTCCTTGAACAACGTCAATTTAAAAGTAGGTCACCATGACCTACTTTTTGAACTTTATGACTTATCCTTTTAAAAACATTTAATCTCATTATTTCAGGCACTGAAAGGGTTAGAATCATCAAATCTTGTAAGTTGCTGCATCTTGGGACTTTAAAACATATTTAAGAAAAAGTAGGTCACTGTGACCTACTTTTAGAATTTTGCAGGCATTTGTCTTCAAATTGTTTAAAAGGCATATTTTGATTACCTTCAAACCTACGATCATCAAACTTGGTCAGGCGATGCATCTTGGGACTCTGGAAAATGTTGACCAAAATGTAGGTCACGGTGACCTACTTTTGACATTTTATGGCTATATTTAAGTATCTTAGGTATTTATTGGCTTAGAATCATCAAACTTTGTGAGTTGATGCATCTTGGGTTTTCGGAGAGTGATGACCAGAAATTAGGTCACAGTGACCTACTTTTGACATTTTATGGCTATATTTAAGTATCTCTGGTACTTATTGGCTAAGAATCATCAAACTTTGTCAGTTGATGCATCTTGGGTTTTCCGAGAGTGATGACCAAAAATTAGGTCAGAGTGACCTACTTTTGACATTTTATGACTATATTTAAGTATCTCTGGTACTTATTCGCTTAGAATCATTAAACTTTGTCAGTTGATGCATCTTGGGTTTTCGGAGAATGTCGACCAAAAAGTAGGTGACCTATTTTTGACATTTTATGGCTATATTTATGTATCTCTAGTACTTATTGGTTTAGAATCATCATACTTTGTCAGTTGATGCATCTTGGGTTTTCGGAGAATTTCGACCAAAAAGTAGGTCATGGTGACCTATTTTTGAATATCTCAGGTATTTATTGGCTTAGAATTATCAAACTTGGTCAGCAGATGCATCTTGGGACTCTAAAAAATGTCAACCAAAATGTAGGTCACGATGACCTACTTTCGACATGTTATGGCTATATTTAAGTATTTTCCGGTACTTTATTGGTTTAGAATCATCAAACTTTAGCAGTTGATGCATCTTGGGTTTTCGGAGAATGTCGACCAAAAAGTAGGTCATGGTGACCTGCTTTTGACATTTTATGGCTATATTTAAGTATCTTAGGTATTTATTGGCTTAGAATAATAAAACTTTGTCAGTTGATGCATTTTGCGTTTTCCAAGAATTTAGACCAAAAAGTAGTCCTAATTGGAAAAGAATCATCAAACTTTGTCAGGTGATGCAACCTGGGTCTTAGGATACTTAGGGTTAGAGGCTTCAAATACAAGTGATAGGTTGTACAATTTATCAGAAGAATGATTCAAGGCCCTTGGGCCTCTTGTTGTTATTATAAAGGGTATGTTTTCTCTCAAACTAATCAAACTTAAAGCAGGGTTCTTAGTATGAGATACATGTAGTAATATATTCTCAATGACATAATAAGGCTGAAAACATTATTTATATTATGTTATTTTTTTTTCACTTATCATAAAGCATTAAATATTAAAGAGATAAATTAAATGCTGAAATCATATGTATCATGGTCATGGTAAGTAATTATTGATATTGGTATATTAAAGGACATTGACTGATCTTTCAGATTTCTAAGTTATATTCAAGCATTATAATTCTGACATCATATAATAATTTTGTATGAATATTGCAGATCATAGGTGATGTGAAGAAAACCAGGAAACTGATGTTGAAAGAAGTACTTAATGACCCTTATGAATGGACTTAAATGTGAAAGACTGTTCCATTGTTTATCTAAGATATACTAGTATGAATTTATTTAATATTTTGATATCATTGAAAAATTCAGTTACAGTTTTTGTACATCAAATGAATTATTAAACATATAAAATGTTAATGCTTTTTTCTTTTACATGTAATAAATTTTTTTGATAGATTTTTAAAAGAATACGCATTATTTCACATTGCTTCCTTTAGAAAAGTTGGGGAATCTTGAAGTTTCCCAGTAATTTCCACCAGGAATGGGACTCCAGATAATTCCACCAAGTTTCCGCCACACAGAAAGTGCTACACAAGTTCCATATAGTTTCCTGAGTCAAGGAAACTTCAGGAATCATAAGGTTTCACGAGCTTCCATGTAGTTTCCCATAAAAGAAAACCTTAAGATTCCATCAAGTTTCCATTCCACGGAAACCACTACACTCATATTCCATATGGTTTCCTGAGTCGAGGAAACTTTAGGAATCGTGAGGTTTCCCGAGCTTCTATGTAGTTTCCCGTATAAGGAAACCTAAAGATTCCATCAAGTTTCCATTCCACGGAAACCACTACGCTCCGATTCCATATGGTTTCCTGAGTCAAGGAAACTTTAGGAATCGTGAGGTTTCCCGAGCTTCCATGTAGTTTCCCGTATAAGGAAACCTAAAGATTCCACCAAGTTTCCATTCCACGGAAACCTCCTACGCTCCGATTCCATCAAGTTTCCTGATTCTGGAAACCAGTGGAATCTTCAGGTTTCCCATTACGGGAAACTACATGGATGTTCGGGAAACTTCAGGTTTACAGAGGTTTCCGTGGTTCGGGATACCTTATGGAATCGGAGCGTAGGGGGTTTCCTTGTCACGGAAACTTGGCGGAATAACCTAGCATCCGCTACGGAAACCACTGGGAAACATGATGTAAACTTGAGGTTTCCATGTGGTTTCCATAAAGTTTCCCATGATGGGAAACCACTTTTTTCACCCAGTGTCAATCATGCCGACAATATAGACGCGGCTACCGACAATTTTTCAAATAAATTTCTCTCCTGTGTTAGACAATCTTTCTGTGAAAAAACAATTACTATTCGTCCACGAGATAAACCTTGGATGGACTCCATTCTGCGTAGAACTCTAAGACTTAGAAATAGATTACGAAACAAAGCGTTACGAACGAAGAAAGATTCGGATTGGGCTGAATTTAAAAAAGTTCGGAACACGTTCAATAACATGAAAAAATATGCTATAGCTAATTACTATGATAATATAGAAATGCACCTAGTAGACGCAAACAAAAACAATAACAAATTATATTGGAAACTAATGAAGGACGCATTTAATGTTAAATCATCCAATGATATCCCTCCATTACAAATTACTACAGATAATGGGAAAAATAGCTTAGCCTTTTCTGATCATGATAAAATTGAAGCACTCAACAGTTATTTTTCATCCATCTCCTGTATTGATGATAAAAACCATAGTCTACCACAAATCTACTCTTCATGTAGTGATAATCTAAGTAATATTATAATTGATGAACAAGAGGTAGTTGACATTATTTCAGTACTTCCTGTTAATAAAGCCACTGGTCCCGATTGCATCAGTCACAAAATGCTTAAAAATACTGTTTCTACTGTTTCAAAACCATTGACTATGTTATTCAATAAATCACTGTCAGAGAATGCTTTCCCGTCCATGTGGAAAGTAGCTCATGTATTACCTCTCTTTAAAAAGGATGATCCGTCTTTAGTGTCTAACTATAGGCCTGTGTCGTTGTTAAGCTGCGTTAGCAAAATTATGGAGAGAATCATTTTCAAACACGTGTATAATTATTTTCATTTTAACAATCTATTTTATCGATATCAAGCAGGTTTTTTACCTGGTCACTCTACAGTGTTCCAACTTCTAGAAACTTATCATAGTATTGTACAAAGTATAGATGAAGGCAAATCGTGTTGTATGGTTTTTTGCGATCTATCAAAAGCATTCGACAGAGTATGGCACAAGGGTCTTCTTTTCAAATTACAAACGTATGGAATATCTGGTGATCTTTTACTGTGGTTTACAAGTTACTTAAGAAATAGATCACAAAAAGTTATGTATAAAGATCTGCTATCATCCAACCTCAATATATATGCAGGTGTGCCTCAAGGCTCAGTTCTAGGTCCTCTTTTATTTTTGATATATATTAATGATGTTGCTGAAAATATGCTTACAATGTGTAGATTATTTGCTGATGACAATTCACTGCAACATGCATCATATAATGTACTAGATATAGAATACAGGTTAAACCATGATCTTGATGTTTTAGATAAATGGTCGAGTAAATGGCTTTTAAGATTTAATCCAGCAAAAACAAAGGTTGTATTTTTTTCTTTGAAACATAAACCTGTTTTACCTAACTTGTATTTTCAAGGCAATGCACTGGAGTTTGTATCGGCGCATCGCCATTTGGGTATATTGTTGTCACAAAATCTGAGCTGGTCTGAATATATAGATAGTATTGTTAATAATGCTTATAGGAAACTGGGGTTATTAAAAAAATTGAAATTTTCAATCGGTAGGAAAAACCTTTCTCTATTGTATACAACATTTGTAAGACCTACACTTGAATATGCTTCAATTGTCTGGGATGGTTGCTCTTTATCTGATGTAGAAAAACTAGAAAAAGTACAATTAATGGCTGCTAGAATAGTTACTGGTCTTCCGATATTAGCTTCAAGAGAATCACTCTATTTTGAAACAGGATGGGTACCTTTGAAAAATCGTCGTTACCAATCTAAAATGATTACAATGTTCAAAATTAATTATTGTGATGTACCGGAATATATACAAGATATAGTACCAAAGAAACGAGAACACACATCAAGATACAATACACGAAATAAAGATCAATTAACTATCCCAAGAGGCAGGTTAGAAATATTTAACAAATCGTTTGTACCTGATGCTGTTAAAAAATGGAATTTATTGAATACAGATACAAGGGAAGCCATCTCAGTCAATTCTTTTCGTAAGATTATAAGTGATAATAATCCTAAAGCACCATCATATTTTTTGTTTGGTAAACGTATTACTAACATTATTCATACTAAATTAAGGCACAACTGTGTATTGAACCAAGACTTATTTAAACGTAATATTATTGATAATCCTTATTGCTCTTGTGGCAAACAGGAAGATGCTTATCATTTTTTCTTTGTTTGTAAAAAATACCTTAATGCTCGAAGTAATCTTTTTGACTATCTTTTTCGACTTGATGTAGACATCATAAATGTACACCTACTGCTATGGGGCAACGAAAATCTTTCAATTGAAGTAAACATTGGCATTTTTGCCGCTGTTCACAAATTTATAAATGAATCTTGTAGATTTAACTAGATATATTATTGACTCTTATTTGTACAAGTTTTTTTTTCTACTTTTTGCATGACTATGTGTTTATGTTAAGGAGAAGAACTAGTAAGTTGTTAGAACTTGTTTCTTATCCTTTTGCTTGTCAATAAAATATGTTCAAAACAAAACACTGTTCGTTATATTTGTACCCTTTTCATCACGTATAGTATATAAATGAAATACAGATATTCGATTACTACATTTTTGTTTCTTTCGCACAGATGGCCCCTCTTAATTCAATACGAATGCCAATATTACACCGTTATTAAAGAAGAAATCCAAATCAGTTATCCTTAATGCCCTATTGGTAATTTGAATCTTGGTCCGACGGAAGCTTGAAGCCTCGTGTTGGAATGAAATAAAGTTGTCTTCTCGGCAGCGAAAGCATGCAGTAATTAATTGGTGATTACCAAGCTCTCGCACAACAGCAAATTCATTTCACTCTATTGAAATTGAACTGCACGATAAACATACGTTTAATTAAAGTATGGATTTCTATGACTATTTTTACTAATTGAAAGTGTTGAAGCATTTAATTTGGTCGAAATCTTTCGATTTTACACCATTTCCTTTTCAAGAAACATTTCAGTCAATATGTGCATATTATTATAGTTATGTAATTTTCTGCCGAGATTATCGGACATACTTTACAAATTGATCAATTTGTTTTATTACCATTTATTATGGACAAACAGTAGGTATCACGTTTTCATTTTGTCGGCAATCATACTCGGTGACCTCGCTAAGTAACGCGATGTTTAGTAACTTATTGGGCTTCCATTAATACGCTTTTTGTTGAAACCCGATTTCTCTGTTAATAAAATAGGAACGGCTTCATTATTAAACATCAAAGAAGAAACAATAATATTTCCAAGAGAATTTACAGTTACATGGCATCAAATATTACTTTTTGATTGTTTTTGCAAAATGAGTTCTTGTCTTTTCAGGAGCAATGGCGTCACGGAATCCAATGAGCTTCTATCTCAAGGTCACACTGAACACATCATGGTAAGGCATTATCATTGCGTAGATCAACATGTAGACGGAACTAGAAAACCAAGAATACAGCAGCTAGTAGATTTATATGTATACTGTACATAATACCGGTGCGGATTATTTTTCCTTAGTTTACTTCTACATGTATTACACAACTTGATTTTGAAAATATGGCATGGGAGAGAGACGTCGAATACTTGGCTATTTGGATGGCCATCTCCAAATATGATAAAAACAAATTGCAAATGAATACATTTTGTTCAAGTGTGGACAAATCATAAAAATAATGGAGAGCTTTATTGAATTTCTCCTGGTGATGAAAAAATTTCCTCCTCTTCAAGTGGTTAATAATCCAAGAAGAATGATCGCAGAGAGTAATCGGTTAATTGAGTCCGAGGAAATATATTGCAGCGGAATCATCAGAATTTTTTCTTGATCAATTTGGATTACCGGATGTAAAAAGGGAAAAAAATCAGATAAGTAATTAGAGAAAACTAAGAGGTTATGAACGATATAAAACACCGGGTTATAGCTGGCAACAAGAGGTGTCAATCAAATCAAGTCGGACTGTACGGTCTCTCAGGGCTACTCCATCATGTCAGTCCCGTTAGCAGCCGGAGTGTCGGATATTGAACAGCCATTTCGTGTTCTATATAATGTCCAGATGTATAATCCTTGGCTATCAACACATGGATTCTTAACAGGAATACTTCTAATTGCTTTTTGAAATCTGATTATTTTCTCTTATCTTCAAGTGGTGTCTTACACGGATTATGATGGTTTCTTATGTTTTCATTGATAACAAGGTATACTTCAGCATTTGTCTGTGAAGTTGTTTTTGATGCATAATTTATGCCTCATATAGCTTGTCGATTTACTACAGTAAAATAACTGATGTTTGTCCATTTTGTCCATATTGTAAAAATCAAGTTAAGAACACCAGTTTTGGATATACGAGTGCTGTTTATGCTTAGCATTAGGCATGTACGCATAGGGATTTACCCTGGCCTATATATTGTCTCTTTTTCAACTATAGTTTTTCTGCGAGAAAAACTATAGTTGTATGACATAGGTTTGTACATGTAACTATGCCAAATTTACTCTCATAAATGAAGTTTTGCGGATTTGATGCATAGTATATTAAATGCTGCCTCTGACCTATATTTTACACCTCTTTAATTCAGATTAAAAAGTCTTTTATTTGTCCCCACTAAAAGTGACAAAAATGCCAGATATTTTACAAGTGATGCACTCAATGTTCGTTTAGTTATACATGTAGAACATCATTCGTGTTTTGAGTGTCCTTGCTAGTGGAAACTTTGTCCAGTTGGGACAGATTTAAGACTCATTAAGTCTGATTTCGACATTTTTGTAAAATTGGTCAAAGATATATGCAACTTACTATGATTGAGATTCACCAATGTCTTTCAGATAAAGGAGTTCGATCGTGTGGATTCTGAAGACGACATTTTGGGAGAATACCGAGAGGAATGTAAAATCGAAGCCGGATGTTTACGGAAAAGAACCGGGTTGGAGAAATGTTGCGGTGGTTTCATCATAGTCCTCCTTATTGTAACTCTTGCCTTAATTATTGCGTTAGCACAACGAAAATCTGGACCAGGTAAGCCAAAAATGCAACCGCCCTTATATAGGCCTACAACGCTCACATTATTTTAAACCATATTTTATTTGAAATTCATTCACTCGGGAACCAGATCTGTTTTATTCTTTGAAATATATACATGAAAGTTGTAGTTTAAAAAAAAATCAATTTGTGATTAGACAATTTAGAAAATCCCTTTCATTTTCCTAATTGATTATGTTGACTAATCTCATTAGGGTGTTTTCCTGTTCCATGGGCATGACATAAAGCGCTTTGATAACCCTGCTTTGATTTAGTTTTGCTATCTACAAAGCTTTATAGATATTTAACCAGTAACCACAAGAGATAGAAAAAAGATCATACCTCTAATATTTGTTGTGAGACTAATTGATCGCTTTAAAAAAAAACGGCTGTGTGGGTATAAATAATTAATGTGTTTATTTCATAGAGGGTTTCTATGTTACAAGTATATATATACAGTATATAATAACTCCTCTTCCAGGCTATATTAAATAATCAATTTAAAACTGTTCTTATAAATATAACATGCTTAATCAACATTGATTTAATCACGCTATGGTTTTTTCGATTTTTGCTATAGACTGATATTTGTGTCCTAAAGGTTCGAACACATTCTATTGTTTAAATGTTAAAACGAAAGGGTCGGACACAGTTTCTTGAAATTATTAAATGGAACGTCATTGATGTGAACACATTTCAATAAAATAGTGATTGATATATGTATTTTAAAAGAACACTGCATTGAAATTTTAAAAGCATTTAACGAAAATTTAATTTTACTAGAACGTTATAGTGTACACTTACATCAACCATTTTGCTACATTATGTATTTTGTTTTTTTTATAAGATACACTGTTATTCTATACATAACGACACACATGCATTAAAAAAGTAATGAAACTGACTGCCAAACTAGGAGTATTTTAGACTTTATGTTGTTATCTAGCAATAAAAATATCTTTATAGAAATATGACCGTTGAATTCATATGCATGTTTATGCACTTATGAAATTGCACGCAAGGTGTGACTAGCAGCATTCACCATTTAATCAATATAAGTTATTAAAAAAAAATCTGCGTATGATTATGAATGAAGGGGACAGTATTTTGTAAGTGAATTAAAAAGAAAATTTTAAAAGTGTCCATTTTATAAAATTTTCAGACCTTTTCCTTCCTTACAACTGTTGACCACTTTCACCATTTTGTGTTCCCTGCATTAGCTTTCTTTAACTAAGACATGGTTTTATATATGTACTCCGTACATCTTTCAGACCCTCGATTTGTATGTGAAACCAAAGAATGTATACTAGCAGCGGGTTCTATACTGAAGTCGATGGACCAGTCCGTAAATCCGTGTACCGACTTTTACAAGTATGCGTGTGGAGGGTGGGAACGGGACACGCCCATCCCTCCCGGCTACTCCATGTGGGACCGGATACAGGAACTGTCATATATCAATCTCCATCACCTCAAAGGCATTCTGGGTAATTATAATGTACAATGCACACTGCGACTGTCGCAGATTATCGTTTCTAGTTAGAGTGAGTGTGAGTCATAAACATCAAATTGTAGGAAATCAGTAAAAAGGAAGAACACGGAAATTGGCTTAACAAATGCCTGAATACATATAGCTGTCTGTACTGTAATAAACGTACTTTAAGATAGATAAATTAATGGTGACTTTTACTTTAAATTTTGAAGGACAGTTTTGGCTTTTACATCTTATTTGATTATACACTACCTTAGCATAACTTCAGAGGCGAACTTTCTTTTTTTCATTTCAGAAGTGTAAATTTCTTCTTCTAGTTATCAATAATTTAAATTTGCGCTATTAGATTTTTTTCTCTATAAATATCGATTCTTTTTAAAAGTACAAGGAGTTACTTTTCCTGAAACAAAAATAGTGTTTTCTATATTAAAAAAGATGGAACATACTTGCCGACATTTTAATAAAATGAACTTTTTTCACCAGAAAAACAGGGTAGTTCTGTAAAATATGATTCCGGAAAGAAAACCAAACAGTTTTACAAGAGTTGTATGTCGGAGAGCCGACAGAAGCGATCTCAGACGTTAGCGGACTTCACGGACCTCATCAGAAATGTGTCATCGGACGGCGACTTTAACCTTGCCGTGATGCTAGAGAAGATCCATCTGCTGGACGCCTGGCCCCTCTTCACAGTGTCCGTCGGCCCCAATGAAGTGTCTTCCGAGAATGTCAATGTCGTCAAAGTAAGCGATTCCTTAATATTTAGGTGAATCTGTAGATTCCTTATTTTACGCGGGTCCTCAATATCGCGAAATGACTATACTTGACGCGTGAAATTTCGCTCAAGAATTTGAATGCAAGTAAGCTGTTCATCAGTACAAATGTAAAAGCGAATGATTTTTATTTTGCGAATGGTGCTTGTTTCGAAATTATGCGATTATAAATGCCTCGAGTTTATTGAGGTGTTTCTCGCGAAATTACATGCGATTATAAATACCTTGATCTACATAAAGAGTTCTGAACAAAATTGAAAAGTTACAATTTTTAAGAAGAAAGTGAAGCATTTTTTGTAATTATCTTTTTAGATAGATTATGGTTATACCCAGTATCCATTCCAAAGCTTTCCAAAACCGTCCGAATCTCCCGCGACAGTGAATACTGCGCCTCAAAATAACAACGAAACCTCCCCTCCTCCGCCGACGTACCAGCGTTTGCAGAAAGGCACTCCGACCTACCTTAGCTGGGATCTCAATGAGGTATCTATGATTTCCTTGAGTGGCTTAACATTCTAGATTAATGATTATCATGACATTCTGCTGTTTGATATATATTTTTAATCAAATTTGAATATTTCCACTGTGTATTTTGTTTAAAATCACACGAAAAATGAATTAATATCAATCCAGCTTACGTAATTTTGTCTAAACTTTCATCAGAGCGGAAGGCACTTGATCACCTTTTTATTGTTATTGAAGTTTTAATGTACACCTGCGTTCGTTGCAACAAACCGTTATTAATTGCGGGAATGCGAAAATGAGAAAACCATGCAGTACATGAAAGCCAAATTGCTTTAGGTAAAATGTTTCTGACATTTTGAAATGCTTGTACAGATAGTGAAAAATTACATGAGAGAAACAAAAAGGATTCTAAAAGTGGTGTTCAACAAGACGGAAGAGGAAGCGGAATCTCTATCTCAGAATCTGCTGGCACTGGAGAAATACATCGGATGGGTAAGAATTCCGAATATCTCTACTGCCGGCCGGTATTTCAAAACTCGGTCTGATAAGAGTCTACTAAAGTATGTTTATAATTCAATTTGTTGGTATTTTTCGACTTAAAACTGACAATTACATTAATATTACTGATGGTATTGCGATATAAGGGGTGTTAAGAAAGTTCGTACTATGATGAAATAATTTCAAAAATTTCAAAGTAGTACTACGCTTAATTAAAGGGATGCATTTTCAATTCTGACAAAATCACAAGAGCGTGCTTTCGACTTTTAGCATTTCATTTGTAGCCGGAAGTTATAGGATTTTTCTTCCACATGAAAACATATATAACATCTTTTAAATACAGGAATTACAGAAATGCTGGTGATTTTGAACTTGAAAATATAGGATTTATTGTTTTTTCATAGCTTATCTTTGCAGCAATGAATTAAAATACTTACCACTCATAATTGAGAAACATTAATTTCTAAATTGAGATAAAAATTAATATAGTTGTCTTGCAAAGAAATATCTATTTTTGATTGTATATAAACCACGAATCGCCATTTGTTTGTCGTAGACACGTGACAGTGAAGAGCACAGCCACAATAGATCAGCTACATTCACCCTGACGAAAATCAAAGACCTTCAGCAGAAATGTCCCATGGTTCGTAAAGATTTTTTAAATTTAGATGTTTGGTCTTTTTAACGCCATAATCATAATTTAATTTACTAATGGTACATAGAAAAAAGATGATACTAGTAATACTTGCAATTTTATACGCACTATCACCAGGGACCTATATACTTAATATATAGGTCCCTGCTATCACTGAGGAAATGGGAAAAAATATTTGTTAGAATTCACAAAGGGTATTTAATTTTTATTTAAGTGAGCTAGGGCCGTGAAGATCAGCTCATGAAATAAAACTTTTCCTGTTTTCCAGCTAACATGGGACCTGTATTTGTTGAGAATTCTCTATAAATCTCAAGTAACTATCAACGTTGACACAGAAGTAGTGGTGCTACATGAATCAGGGCTGATTAAGCTGTGCTCCTTGGTGGACTCCTACATCAAAGACGCCAGCAAAACCAAGTAACTCTCTCTCTCTCTCTCTCTCTCTCTCTCTCTCTCTCATTAATGTGTAATTTAGACTCACAGAATTTTTGAATAATTTTTTTCTTCTGTATTTTCTTGTAGTGTGTTAAAGCATTATTTGATGGTGCACTTAGTGAGATCTTTTGTGCCGTATTTTGACGTCAGCACTTTCAATGATGACGATGCTGATATCGAAGAAGGTTCTTATTTATATACCAACTCAGAAAAAATACACTCTATATTTTATAATAGAATACTCTAGAATTTTTCATTTACAATTAAAAATAATTCATTTAGACATACAATGTAGCAGACAGAAAGATCCTGTGTGTCATTTAGGGAAAGATAACATTATTGGACTGCATTTAATTTACAGAAATAGAAAATGAAGGGGAGCACTGGAGAAGATGTGCCTTCTACACAAATAAAGCATTTGGTTTTGTGACAGGTGCAATGTATGTGAATGAAACGCAACAAGCAGTGTCAGTTCAAAAGGTTAGGGCACACATATACTCTTAAAAAGACACACACAAAGAGAGAGGAAGAAGAAGAGAGATTTTCCTGCAAAACTATTTGCAGGGGCTTGAAAAAATAGTCTACATGTATATGAAAACACTCTGAAATGTTGCCTGGTATAACCCTAGCTTTTCGTTTAAAAAAGTGCCCTGTGATAAAAGAAAAATCAAGAATGAAATCAAGTATGATAGGATAATGCCAAAAGCATTATTGTACCTGATAATAAGTCCACAAGAACTTGAACAAACTCCCCATTCCAATCCCATTTCACTTCAGTGATAATCGCTTAAGATGGTTGTACAGATTATAAAATTAAATTTTCCGAGGATCTGGTGATGAATGGTCTTGATTACAAGTAAATCATCCTTTTTTCATTTTTTTATTCAGCTACAAACTCTAGTAAGAGATATAAAGATAGCATTCCGAGACTATCTCTTGGACAAAATCTGGATGGACACAAGTACGAGGAGTCACGCAGAGGAAAAAGTGAGTAAAAGGAAATGCATAACTTCAGATCTGTTAGGGCACGGGGGTTGTTACTACTTTGTTCAATTCAGTTTCTCAACTATTGGACAAAGGAGTGGATATAAGGGTTACCCATCAGTTTGTCCATATGTTTCCTATGTTTCAGATAACTGAAATGTTAGAGAAGATTAGTTATCCAGATGAAATCCTGAAATCGCATTTCCTCGATCAATACTACAAGGAGGTTGGTATTGAACTTCAGTGTAGATTGAAAATTTCTTTGAATTTTCAAAAGATAGGATTAATAGTCTATAAATGATGAAATCTTTTTTATTAGTTTGAGGTAAGCGATGATTGGTTCAAGAATATAAAGAATATGAAGACGTTTCATGTCACAAAGAGCGTGGAGATGTATCATAAAGTTGTAGATCGACACAGGTATATACAACCTTCTGCACTTCCAGTTCTTTGATTCTACGGTTTATCAAGCATTTGCTTGCGCTTGAGAAATAAATGTTCAAAGTTATGAAAAGATTAAAAGAATATCAAATGAACTAATATTTTGCTTCTGTGTGTTTAAGTTATTCTACAGCGTTTAACTTTTCTATATCTTTTCCTGTTACAATCTTACAGCTGGATGCAGACACCAGTAACGGTAGAAGCCGACTACTCACCCCAAAGAAACGACATTATGTTTCCTATCGCCATGTTTCATCTTCCGTTCTATTCTCCAAATGGACCCCAGTAAGACAAGATAGTCTTTTATATGTTTTTAATTACCCTTGATCTTATGCTTGGAAGATTTAATTATTATTTTTTTTCTTTTTTAGAGCTCTTAATTTTGGAGCGATGGGCTCCATCATTGGACATGAAATAACACATGCGTTTGATATCACAGGTAATTTATTTTGAATTCATTATATATTATCAATCAGAATTGGTTATGCATAGAAGTGTGCATGAAAGAATGGTTTTATATCCGTTGTAGCCCTTAGCGCTGAAAACTGCTTTTATTACATGTTCATACATCAATCTGTTCATTCAGGCATGTTGACTTGTCATTGCCACGTTGAAGTTTAAGAAAATTCTAGTTCTCTTGAATAAATGTTGTTAAAACGACATAACCGTTTAAACAACCTAGAAAAATTGAATTGAGAATTTCTTTTTAAATAAATTAACATGAATGGAGAGGCATTTTCTTCCATGACCGTCAAATATAAATTGTTAAAAGAGAATGATGCATTTTTCATGAGTCGAAGGTTAATTTGTTTGCTTCCATTGACGTTCGGAAAATCAGACCCTAATTTTTAAAAAAACTTGGAATTGGTGGAATGAACCCTCTAGAGTAATTAATAGGTCACTGTGCCTCGTTTTAGGACGTCAGTATGACAGTAAGGGGAAGCTGAAGGAATGGTGGGAGCCGTACACGGCCTCTCTGTTTGAAAAGACCACGGGGTGTATGAGAGAACAGTATGACGGATTCAAGCTTGACGGACTACAGGTCAGTAATATAGAGTATACATTATTGTCATTTTGACAGAGTAAAATGCTATGAACAATATCAATCTGAGACGGTAAATATCACTATGGGATATCTAAATCATACATGTCAAAATTGTGATCCAGGCAGATATACTAGTAATCGTTGCCAACTTGAGAATATTTTCTTATATGTTTACTCTTTAAGTTATATCGAATGTATGATTACTTCCATTTTGTAAAAAAAAAAAAATAAAAAAATTACGAAAGGCAGAAAGAGATTATAAATATTCCAATATGTATTTTTAAATGTAGATAAATGGCGAGAAAACACTGGACGAAAACATAGCCGATAATGGAGGATTACGCGCTGCTTACATAGTAAGATGTCTCTACACATTACTGTTCATAAATATATTTGATTTCAATCTGTCATCAAACACCATATGACATATTTTTACATCTTTTGTGTCTTTTAAGGCATTTCAAATTTGGGAAAATGAAAATGGAATAACGCCGAATCTTCCAGGTGTGAATTTGACAGATAAACAACTGTTTTACGTTAGTTACGCTCAGGTAACTATATGTTTCTCTTGTCGGTGATATTCTTAAACGTTCTGGATTTTAAAATGCTATAACATCTACAAAATATATATTTTATATATACAGATGTTCTGTACTAAGTGGAAACGTTCGGGTTTACGGAATTATCTATTAAGTGATGACCATTCCCCAGGGCCATTACGGTAATAGGAAACTTTGATTTTTTCCTTCTTTAATTTTATTTTAATTAAAATTTTTTTTTTTTAAAATAACCACAAATTTTCAAAATCAGAAGAAAACTTATTTGATTTAGAATTTTAGGTTGTATAGCCCATAAATATCAGAGTAAAATCGAGTTCAAAAAATTTACAAGAAATAGTGATCTAAAGCGTAACTTGATTATTTTTTGTTCATCCCATTAGTGTGAAGGGCACCTTGCAGAATTCAAATACTTTTGGAAAAGTGTTTGACTGTCCTTTCATATCAGAATATAGTCCACAAACTAAATGTGAGGTTTGGTGATAGTTGCGAGTGTATCGACACATTCCATGTATGGTTTGTCAAAAATGGCATCGTGTGGATTGCAGTTCCGGGTTTTCAGGTGGAGGAAACAAAAAAGGCAGCGTTTTGCTTTGGTTCAGTAAAATCTACGCTGGCTTATTTAGTACCGACCAGAAATGCATGTATTTCAAAAATAGTATAAGCTTGCACTTTATTTTACCACACATTGCACTCAAGTTTAATTATATTTTTTTCAGAATTTTAAAGCACAATTATGAATAGATTAGAATAGTGTTTTACATTTATTGTGAGACAAGTGTTTATAAATCACTTGTTCTTTTTGTGTATGTATAATTTTCCATAATTTAGTATAGAACATCAATAAACCCAGAGGGCTTTCGGTAAGTCTGCGATGTCTTTCATGCTTTTTTCATGTATGTTGAAGAAAAAGGGACTTTAGGTGGGGTAGTGCTGAGTTAACTTTTCTTAAGTTGCCACTAAATTCTCTCAGGGCTAACTTGTATACTATAATAGATTGAAAATATCTTCATAATGCGATCTCTTGTCTCTTCGTGAAATGTAACCTTTTAAAATTTGACCTTTCAATAATTGTCCCAAAGGTATATATAACGCTATCTGTGATTAAACCTGTATCTACATTGGCATTTGCTTAAATCAAAAGATTTTTGAAAGCGATTATTGTTTTGGTTTTTTTTAATATTGAATTTTTATTGCTTTATTTTCGCACATATATGGCGTAGCTTGCTGTGTGGTCAACATTGGGTTTTTAAAGATAAGCATTTATTTTGTTATTTTACGGACTTTTTTCTTTATCTGTTTTATATTATTTTGAAGTTATAAAACAGTAACACTTGTTTTCAGTTATTTTATGCCGTTTTCCCCATGACGTCACGTGCATTCCATTTCATATTTTTCTACTATGGCATTTGTTTCCAATTACAGCATTGAACAGTTTGAAGTTAGTTAAATTGTTATTTATTATCTTAATATATATATATGTTTAATTTTCTATACATTGTAGCGTGGCTATTTTGAATGCAATGATTGTTAGTTAGTTTTTTTCAAAGTTCAACTTTATTGTCAACTTTGCCAGTCATGGTTTTATTTCTTGATGAAGATAATTTTGAAAGTCATATATGGCATATTTTTGATAAGTTCAAAAAAGATCTTTCTATTTGGTTTGTTACTTAATATAACAATAGGCCTTTCCTCGAAATTACACAGTTGAAATCAATGTCGTTTCATAAATATCAGAGATTTTAAAAAAAATAACATATGCGTAATATTTTAATCGTATGCACAAGTCGGTAGAACACAAATTATCATTTATTTGGCTTAGGTTGTCTGTGAGTGTCAAATGAATGAAAATTTGAAAGAAAGGATGAGAAAAGATAGGTTTTGCGTGTATGAAAATAGGCTAGAGAGAATGATGAGGATATGCTAACAATGACAATGAGATAAAAATAATCTTTCCATAACTTCAAATGCTTTATTGCATCACACACTAAATAGAAAATGTTGACAACGGAAACATTGCATTAAGGATTTCTGCTATGCTGTATGCTGATTTGTCAATCGTCTTCAATGTCCGGTACAAGCAAGAGTTTGAATGGGCATCCATGACTTGTAAGGATATGTTATGTTATTTAATTGTTATTAATTGTTGTTAATTGTTGTAAATATCAGAAGTACGGTCTGTGTTCCTATATATGTTGAAGCTTATTTTTATAGAAGTATTCATAGAGTAATGTTTACATATAGATATAGTATGTTGCGTCTTTTTCTATTGAAGAAATGGATAATGTTTCCTATGCAAGAGTTTTCTTGAGAAAATAAATACTTAAAGATCATGAAATGTGTTTTATTTTTAAAATTATATAATGTAAAAATGGAAATATTGACAAATGCCATATACTCCTCGTATTTGCATTTGTCAATATACAATAATTATACCACAAGTGCATTAAAATTTACACAGACTCACCCTAACAAGAATTTACCTTAGTTAAAATATATACGAGTATTTACTAAAGTTAACTACATTGAATACTTTAATCTAAATCTTTTTTGACGATTAATAAGAGCCTTGATATTTCTCTTTTATAACATACCAATAATGTAATATTTTGATAAAATATGTAAAATTACGAGAACAACTTAATTTTCATATTAAAAATTACTTGTGGGAAGTTAAAAAAAAATGGAATACATCTATCTGAAATTCATAGTATACTATAGTGAAAACTTTTATTTATCATAGGGCTTTTGCGAGAAGCACTGACTTTTACAGTTAACGGTTTCAGTTTACTTTGACATTTAAACCTGTATCGTATAATGAGGTACAGAATCGATAACAGACAAGAAACCTTTCCAGTGGTCATATGTATGGTTTTCGGGACATTAACATGTTAAGGCTGGAAGTTGAGGGTAGGATGATTGTCGTTTTCTTCAAAAGCAAGTTATTTGTGCTTTGACATAACCCGTTATTTTCGTACATTCTGTACATTGTCCTCGTGTAAAAGTAAGCCGTCAACTGTGAAGTCAGCGCTACACGCAAAAGTCCATAGTTTAATATGATAAATTATAGTTAACTATAATACAGTAGTTAACTTAGTACTTTTTTGTTTTCAAAATATCAATATCAAAAATTTATCGACCTTTCCACTTCTTAACATCGCCATTTTTAACACAACATGCATCTGCATGAATTTAAAAAGAGTTAAATACGAAGCTTTTTTACATGTATTACACTGTACATCTCAGACCATATACCAAAGTCTTTGTGAAGTACTCAGGAACACTGGCTCCCTGTAGGAGCTAATAATTGTAAAATTGTGGTTGTAACGCGTCATTTGATGGATAAAAATTAGATTTTCTTTGAATAATTTGTGTTGCCAACTGTCAATTGAATGATGTTACTTTATTTTTTTAAATCTGTCCACTTTTGTAAGGAATTATAAGGAATGAATTTAATACATGTAGCTACCAAAGTTATATCAAGATAACCTGGTTGGAACAGTTTATGCGTTTTATAAACCGCGAGGCGTTCGAAACCAGGTTGGCAATATAACTTTGGAACCTATAAATTCATTCCTTAAATACGAAATATGGAGATAACGAACATGGAGATAAATATGAAAAACGTCAGTCAGCGCTTAACGAATGGTATGATGTATACGCTGACAAGGTCAATCTACTGTGTATAAAAGTGGCGGAGGTTGACTTCAAACAACGCTGAATTGATATCCTTGGTTAATCACAACATTTGTTCTTAGCTTGCCACATTTTAGAAATTCTTTTAAAAACATGATCTTAATTGCTGATCGAATCAACTTAAAGACATAAACTTCATATTCAGGTGATAAGGGTTTATACCTGCGTCAGTGAGAGAAGTTGAGAATAAAATGTTTAAAGTCATCAGGTTATCATATAGTTCTGTTGTAAGGTTGTAATTGTCATCTCTTTCTGTCAAAATATTAGTATTCAAATATATACAATACAGAAGTGTCAGGCTATTGGTATCTTTTTTCAAGCTCACTGGATATATTAAATCGACATATATGAATGGGAGGCACTATTGTTAGTTGATAATACGTTGTCGATATATCTCAATGTCGAGTTAAAAGCAACGGCAAGGGTTATTTTCGTCTCATGTAGAAAATGTTAAATAAATTATGTTTCATATGAAGACAAATAGAGGTTTGCTAATAACTAGACGCCACTGGTTGGAAACCTTTTAAGTTACTCTCTGACAACCGAAAAAACTTTTTTGGTTGAAAATTTAAAAACAAACTGCACAGCAACATGTTGTTGCTTTTTATTCATTTACGCAACTCATTTAATAGACCCAATGTAACTTCCGTCAGCCATACCATTTTTGCAAGAAATTTAGACTTACTGCAAATATCGGAAAACGATGTCTATAACTCAATTGTATCTCTTGGCACTACAAAATGTGATCACAAAATTGTCATCATCAACACTCACGTGTATTTGGCTTTTTATCACTTCCCCTACGTGACACCATACATTTCATGGTTGAGTAATTTTGACCAGCGATTTTAGTGCACAGTAACCAAAATACACATCTGACCAATTTTCATAATTTTCGGCCACATAGTTAAATATTTTTCGCTATTATGCTATTTTGCGTTTCTTTTTCCTTTCAGTATATATAGAAGTATTTTTTTTTTTTTTTATAAATTTAAATGTTTCGAAAAAAATTGTCTATGTACATTTGTAAGGAATACAAGATCTGGACTTCAAATTGAAACATGGTAGAATTCAAGAATGGAACCTTTTTAAAATGAAGAATGTTATTTGCGTTATCTGCGTAAATGCCTTTGTTAAAAAAGTGAAAAACAGATCAATTTGGTTCGTTAAAAAATATTTAATGTATTAATAATATTTCATTACACAGTAATCTGACGTCTATTTTGTGCCTGCGGGATGCAGCAGTGTATCCACAAGTTGTGATCCAGCTCCGGTCAGACCGCTGTGGAGTTGATCTGTGCAATAGAGATACCGAAAATGGCATGCAATGTAAATACATGTATATAGTAAAATATCTGACTCAAGTTCATCTGTGGACCCTTCTGGCTCACATGTACAAAATATACCAAGTTGAGTGTCCCGAGGAACGCATCATTAAAGATTGAAATGAAGATCTAAAGATCGTAAGCGATTTGTTCTACTTGCATTTAACATTTTTTCATTTCATACATGTAATAGGAAGATTCTGAACCGTAATCAAGCTAAAAAACATAAATCGGGAGAAGAGCAATCACGGACCAAAGATCCCATATTTATTTAGCATTACGGTATCTGAAGTATTATGACCAAAGTTTAAAATTGAAACTGTAAAGCTACACTTCTTCAGCTAACTCTGCGTATTATTTTATTTTGAGTTAGGGGTATACTCGTTATTGAATCAATAAAGGAATGAAAAGGAATATTTTAAATTGACAAAATGTCGATATATGTAGATACTGAATTGAAGACAAGAGACTTTTTTTCCTGAATTCCAAAAACTACATAGATATTGTCAGATGTTGTTTTAAAAATAAGCATCTAAATGCATTTGCTATTATCTTCGGAGTACTTGTGTGTACGTTCAGAATATTATTATACAAAATAATTTTGCTAATGACCGATGACAAGGTAAATAATTTTACGAACATGTATACGAGTTGTATAAAGTGTTAACAATTTTTACATTTTGAAGTTATTGATTTTGATTAATTTTGTGTTTTTCAAATTTTCTATGAGTTCCTTAGAGGATTTTTTAGTATTCCGGTCTAATTCAAACCAGAATGTATTGGCTCATAGATATTTGTTATTTAGTCTAGACTAACCATGCTGACGT